ATCATCAATATAATGATTAAAAGGTAATGATTAATATTAAAGTTTCTGTTTTAATGTACCTGATCTATTGGTATTGCAAACATTGGCTGTGTAATTGCATTATTGAATAGTTTAGCCTTCTTAAGATTGGATCCCCCAGCTTGAAACTTCTTGTTGTCATCAATAATCCCTTAAAATCAATAAATGCAATATACTTTAATTTTCACTTGAAATAACATAGTAATATTTATTTCTAGTCATTGCATGTTTAAAGCCAGAACAAAACATTTTTTGTACAAGTTAAAGGTACCTTGTAAAGTCCGTTTAGCTTTATGGCCCCTCTCACTCAGTGGAATTGAGATTTCATCAAGACTAATGAGACACCACAGACAAAAATGTTTGCCTGCAATGATTTTTTTGAAAATCAGTATATATAACACTAATCTGTTAGTCAGTCATCATTGACTCACATAATGTGCGTAAAGTCAAAAAATCACTTTACAGAAAGAGTGAATTTATAAGAGATTATCTGTTATTTCATTTAAAATGACATATACTGAGATATTATTAGCTTGTACTGGATGATGACTAGATGACCTACCACTTGCTCCTGAAAGGCCATATATAGTGCAGAGAAAGGCATAATCACCAAATACAAAAACTTTTATTTCCCATTTCCTATAATGGAATACATGTATATGATATTGGAATTGGACATTTTTTTCAATATAGAGTTACAGAGGATTATAAAATATAATATTGAAAATAAATATACCTCCATTTATGTCCATTTAARCATTCAACTGTATTACTAAATCCTTCAAGACCAATTGATAGATTATATGGAGTGTCAGCAGCGTTAAACATAGAGAAGATACATGTGTTCTCCATTGAATTTGGATTCTTCAAATTTCCTATTTCAAACACCATTTTGAAGCTCCCCCCACCCTTATCCCCACCAATCTTCAACCATAACTCTCCCTTTGGTATAAGGCCATCATGCCAAACAAGATCTCCATATCTATAATTTAAGAAATTTTGTGTTGTTAAAATTAGTATAAAACCAGTTAATTCCAAAAAAGTAATAAGAAACATTTGGACCTACTTTTCATGTTCATGCAAATGATTCAAAACCATTTCTTTCAATGACAGTACCCGTACACATGMTGCCAACTTAATTTCTTTTCCGTGACCCTTCTTTGTAAATTCGAATGGTGCCTCCTCTGAATGAAGTTCTCCTAGTTTCTATTTTACATAAAATATAATGACTGTCATTATATTCTTATTTGTAAATTCAATTGGCATTTCTTTAAAAGATATCTCAACAAATGAAATTCTTGAAATTCTTAAATGTTTTAGTTTATATGGAATATGTACTATAATTAGTGAGGCTTTTTAAAAGCTTTAGTTGTTTGTATTGTATTATTGTTATTATTATCATTATCATAGTTGATTTATTTTTTTTTCTAATGGGAGAGAGTTTAATTGTGTAATCAATTAAAGTACCTGTGTATTTGCAATAATTCTTTGTTTCTTTTCACTCGCAAGATGGATTCSCCATGATGAAAGCCATCTGTGACAAAATGATACTGTATATATATTTTATATTTAATGAAATGATAATATCTAAATATTTTGTTTTTTATGAACTAACCGTTTAATTTCTCTTATTTTGTTCCAGGGAATTCCCAAAGTTGTCTTCATGGCGATACTTTCTTCTGCTGTCACTTCAATTTGAATACCTTATTCACCAAAAAATTATTAGACTTAAAAGCACAGGAGATGTGAACAGTTTTCAAAGAAAATAGAATGAACATAGATAACTAACCTGCCTCTGAAATAATTTTTCGACGTTCCTCTTTGCCCATTTGTTTGAATTCGTTTTGCTGCTGCACCAATATATTTTGATTTCCTCCTCCACTAATATTTTCTCTACATTGCTTTATGACTTTCACCCTTCGCTGTAACGTCCGCTCAGATGCTTTGCTGCTCGCGACTTTGGCTTTGTTCAAAAGAGTAACCKGTAGAGGCTTTTAAACAATAATGGTTATAATTACTATCAACCCCACATTGAATTCAGACTAAATTCAATAGTATTACAGCAATACATTGATCTTATTATTATAGATTTCTGTCTGTTTTCATGAGGTAAGATACCTCTGGGCTGGTTTAGGGGTGTGCCCTGTTTTTTGATTTAAAGAAAAAAGAGAAAATCCTAACCCTTTCCCCTAGTGGTTGCACTACACCTTATGTGTCTATATGTATTAGTATGTTTACTTACTSTTCCTCCAGTACGAAATGAGACATTTCTACTTGATGAATTATTCAACTTWCTTTTCACTAAACGAGTGGCCAGCACTTCTTCGTTTGTTGACAAGGGCTTAGTTAGGGGGACACTCAGGAGATCATTCATTGAAACATCGTTGTGGTCAGATTTATAGATGGTACAAAGCGCTTCATGACCGTCAAGATTTTCCAGCGCGATAGGTTCTTTACAGCTTCGACATCGAACAAGTGCAGATGATAAAAGGTTAAGAANACTCTACGGGATGAGTTTGATGACAATATTGCCCGGGTTTCTTTTCAAATTTGCATGTTTTTGAGTAACAAGTGGGGCAGAAACTTGGGGGATGAATTGAATTCAAGTCAAGAGAAACATCGACTGAAAAAGTATCCCATATCTTCTGTGCATTTTTTTCCTCATTAACAGGATATTTATGCCGCGAACCTAAATGTTCTCCACAAATACGGCAAGACTTGGCTAATTGTGACAAGTGAAATGCTGCCATTACATCTGAAAATAGGCGAAAATAAATACATGAAAAAGTGCATAAAAAATAGTTTACAAAACCAAACGACGTTTAATTGAATAAAAAGTTAATGGCTCAGTTTTGTACTAGTTGACCTCAGTCACGGCAGACGAAAGTCTCAACAGTAAAAGGGCTTTTTGGAAACAAAAAATTGCTCTTTTTATAAAACAAATACATAAATAAATGTGTCCATTAACTACTCACCATCTTCCATCATTTTCCTGTTCAAAAACCATAAAAATATATATTTGCTTATTTGCTTAGTCCTGTGAATGGTGAAAAAAATTATATTTGCTTATTTGCTTAGTCCTGTGAATGGTGAAAAAAATGATAGCAAAAGTCAAAGAAAAAAAATAGTTTATAAAAAAAGAATGCGTTATTCAATGATAAAATGTAATGAAGAACGTTGTTGTTATGTTTTTTTATCATAAATTTGCTCTGAACGTATTTAAAAGCAGAAACAATTCAGCGATGTTTYGGCCCACGAGTTTTGCCGCGAATGTGATTCCGTACGGCATTGAAATGGTTTTTTATTTACAAAATGGTGTTTTGGGCAAAMAAAATACAAACAWAAGATGAAAAGCACAAATACTTACCATTATCCATTCATCTTCGTCTTCATTTCAATCGAAAAAGTCCAATTTTAGCGTATTTTCTCGGACGTCAAAAATTTTGAATTTGCCGCCATTTTGTTGCTAAGAAGAAAATCCCCCTTGACAACGACGACTGGCCGCGCGCGCGCCTGGGACCTAATGTCGCGAACGAAACAGCCGTGTTTTGAAGCTGAATCCAATGGTATAAGTTTTATCTCAATCAGATAAATATTTAGGGAGCACGGGGCCAAAATGTGAAAAATTACGTCACTTCCGGTTTTCGATGGTCGATTTAGTGCACCTCAGAAAAAGTGAAAAATCACAAAATTGAGAACGTATTTTATCAAATAAATTAGCAAGATCAAAAGTACATATATAAGCGACTATTTAGAGCTGTTTGTGAAATCAGAAAGTTTAAAATGAATATTTTATCGATTTTTAAATTGTCCTTCATGATTTTAGTAGTTTTCAAGTGTATCCTACATAAACCTCTGTATCTCCACTGGTACATGTCCTAGCTTAAAGCCACTGCATATGAGGAAAGACGAATAACCATAGTTGAGTTTCAAGAAATAAAATTTTGGGGCAAATCATAAACACAGTCTGTGGAGCGGTGAGTGACGAATCCAATTTCGGTCATATTTGACCTCATTAACTTAGTGGTTTGTGTACATTTGTGATTTCGGAGTGAATACATTTACCGCAATTGGGCTTCTTTCGACTGGGATTCCCAAACAGACATCTTCTTGATATAATACACTGCTTTATTTGCATTGAAAGAGTGTACATTCAGTTAAAATGTTAAACAAGCTGAATGGAGTCCAATAATTATGCTAACCCAAAATCCATTACGATCTGACAGTTTGACATATAGAATGACAAAAACGAGTCCGAGGAAGGATAACATCGTAAAATCCAAAATTTGGATTATAAACGAGACGTTGTTCAACAATATTTCGGTTTAATTCAGAACCATAATCATGTTAATTATTTTACAATTTTGCAATCGTATTTAAAACAAGTTTAATTCTCTAGAGGCTTTCAAGCCGTCGTTAATTCCCGGGCGTAAATTCTTGGGATCTTCCCGTTAATTCCCGGGCGTAATTTCTTGGGATCTTCCCTTGGTCCTGTCTTAGCTAATAATATTATGACCGAATTAGAAAAACATGTCGTTTCAAAGTTAATTAAGAATAATGTTATCAAATTCTATGCTAGATATGTTGATGATACTCTAGTTTTAGTTAAACGCAATGACATTGACGATGTCTTAAAGAAACTTAATTCTTTTCTTAAGGATAAATTATGTTTTACTGTTGACAAATTTCCTGATAAGAAAGTACACTTTCTTGACTTATCAATTGATAAGAATATCACAGATCT